TTGGGGATTGTTGAAATATAAACTAGAATGATATTAAAGATAGAGAGAAGGATTTTCTGTTTATTTCATTGAAGGGTAAGGCCCTTTAAATATAGATTACAAAGATAGAATATTCCTATAAAAGATGCTATACAATAATACTATATATGGTATATTCCTAAAATATTCTAAAGCATATTCTAAAGTATATTCTAATATACTTTCACACTCCCCCTCAAGTTGGAGCATAGATATTTATCATGCCCAACTTGTTACATAAATAACCCACTCGAATTCTATTTAGTGCTTTAGAGATTCTTGGTAGCACATAAATTTGGCATCCATCAAATGAGACAAATGAGCTGGTAGCGGAAGCAATATGAACAAGCCGATTTTCTTGATTTTTGAACAGCAATTTTCTACACTCTTTGATCAAGTGTCCGGGTTTTTGCAATAATTGCATATTACTCCTCTGTCAAATAGCAGGTTTCCGTTTGTTGACTTTAAATATTGGAGAATAAAATATCCAGATTGGGCCTTGATTGCTACAGACCGCAGACTTAATTTCAAGCTAGAGATGTGTCCGTCTGATGCTAAGACCCCAGAGCATGTGCCCACGATAAGCGAACAACCAGAGTAGACCTTCGAGACCCAGCGGAAGTCTAAAGACACGCGAGATCCAGCGAGCAACCAACAATCAGACTGTGCGTCTGTCCCTGGACACTTCGATGCCAGACCCCCAGCGAGCGACGACCACCGTCCACCGGTCCTCCTCAGCTCTCTCAAAAAGAACGAGAAAGAAGTAAAGTTCACCTGGTGGTAGAGGACTATCAGGCGACTTTTAGACGAGAAATATGAGAGGTGCGGCGGCGGCAACAACTTGTTTCAGGTTTTGGGAAGATGCTGGGCGATCTGGTGAAAGAGCAGAGGGCGAGATTCTATATTGCCTTTCATGCTCGTTTGCTGGAAAGAATGCACCGGTTCTGAAAAAACTATATGTTCTTCCTTCCCTTTAAGCTAATTCTTCCAATCAAAATTCCAGCCAGGGAAGATGGTCGGACCTGACAGAGATGGACTAAGGTTCTGAAAAAAAAGGTTCCGGAGATTCTGGAGTGTAGAGTTTCTTTAGAATTAGCAGCTAATTGATTTTCTGGAAAGTGGCAGCTAATTGATTTTCTGGATTAAGAATCTGGTTGGAGGTTCTGTAGACAAAAGAGTGTGTAAGGTTTTGGAGTTAACTCAGGTTTTGGAAGAGGTTCTGGGAAGGGTAGGAGGTTCTGAAGGTTCTGGACTGAAATTAGCCTGAGAAGGTTAGGAGGTTCTGGACTGAAATTAGCTCGTGAAAAAACTGCAAACGAATAGGAGGTTCTGGCAAAAGCTTCTGGGAAGAGGTTCTGGGAAGAATAGGATGTTCTGAGATTGAACTAAGCTTCTGAATAGAGAATAGAGATTCTGGGTAATGGTGATGATTGTGTAAAGAGGTTTTGAACTGAACTCAAGTTCTTTGAGAAAGAACTGAGTGTGAAAAACTAAATTGAAATCTGAAAAACTAAATTGAAATGGAAGTGAAATGGAAGGCCCTGATACCATGTTGAAATATAAACTAGAATGATATTAAAGATAGAGAGAAGGATTTTCTGTTTATTTCATTGAAGGGTAAGGCCCTTTAAATATAGATTACAAAGATAGAATATTCCTATAAAAGATGCTATACAATAATACTATATATGGTATATTCCTAAAATATTCTAAAGCATATTCTAAAGTATATTCTAATATACTTTCACAGGGATAAGGTGTTTTTAAAAGTAAGGCCCCATCGACAATCCACAGTATTCCGTCATCATCATAAGTTGTCACCGAAATATTATGGGCCATTTTTGGTCAAGGCACGTGTGGGGCCGACAGCTTACAAACTAGAGTTGCCTTCCTCCAGCCGCATACATCCGGTCTTTCATGTTTCACAGCTACGACAGGTGGTCGGTGATCATCCCATAGAAAGTGAGCTGCCTGAGAGTTTGGAACTGCCTGTGAGGCCGATATGGGAACCTGAAGAAATATTGGCTAGTAGATCAGGAGGAGATAAGAGGACCAAGGGGGAAGAGTTATTAGTCAAATGGTTAGGACAACCTGGGGATGATGCTACCTGGATAAGGAAGGAGAGTTTTGTGAGCCAGTTTCCAGATTTCAACCTTGAGGACAAGGTTGTTTCTAAGGAGGATGGAATTGATATAAAGCAGCAGGAGCAAGGAGATGGGTCGGAAAAAGGGGGTCCAAGACCGAAGCCCCTGCTGGTCTACCGAAGGCGGGGACGGGGCTGAGTCCACTTCCGTGGGCTGGGGATTATATGGGCTGGGTTATTTATTTTAAGTAGCTTCAATTATGTTGTTTATTTTATTATTACTTATTATTTTAGAATTTCCCTCAGTCGCAGGTTCTTTAGACTTGGTACGCAAGTCTTTGCTTTCTACTGGGACTTCGACTATTAGTTGGGTAGTTTCCTAGGAGGACTGAAACGAGAGGAGTATTATATATGTACCCTGCGCAGGCTTATGCGATCATCGAGAATAATATATTGAGAGATATTTAGCTAAATAGCTTGGGCAACGGATTAACCGTTGATTGTTATTTTTCAGTGCCACCATGATCGTTTCAATTTTCATTCGTTTTTAGGGAGATCATAATCATCATATTAAATTCATATTGTGTTTCAGTTTGGTACAGTTTGATTCTATTATTTTTCTTTACAAAAGAGTTTATTGAAATTTTTAATACACTCTTATTTTGACAATGCTTTTCATGATTTTGATTCATTTCAGTTTATAAAGGTTTAAAAGTAATATTGTCACACTCAAATTGAGACTCAAATTGAGTTTTATATCATTCTATTTGGTTTCAAAAATTATGTTTGTACATACTATTATACCCACTTTTGTACCCACATATGTTCGTGAAGTGTTTTTTTCTGTGAACCTCAGTTCACAGACAACATTTCTGTGAACATCGGATTGAAGACACCAATGCCTGCTAAATTGTGGTGTGATAATCAAGCTGCCATACACATTGCCAACAACCCAGTATTTCATGAGAGAACAAAGCATATTGAGGTTGATTGTCATTTTATTCGAGAGAAGATACAGAAAGGATTGATCTCTACGGGATATGTGAAGACTGGAGAACAACTTGGAGATTTGTTCACTAAAGCACTAAATGGGATCCGAGTTGGTTACTTATGTAACAAGTTGGGCATGATAAATATCTATGCTCCAACTTGAGGGGGAGTGTGAAAGATATAGAATATACTTTAGAATATTAGAATATACTTCAGAATATTCTAGGAATATACTTTAGGATATTATTATTGTATAGAATCTTATATAGGAATATTCTATCTGTAATGTATATTTATAGGGACTTTCACAACTAATGAAATACACAGAAAATCCTTCTCTCCATCTTTATTATCATTCTAGTTTATATTTCAACAATGTACATATGGATGTACAAGATCCTCCGTACGGACAAAGCCATCAGAGGCCCTTCCCGGTTGATTTTTTTTTATGAAATTGTTTGAGCATGTTCTTCATCAAGTCTAATTTATTCATACCAAATTTCAGCTCAAAATTCGACTGGGAAGGCCGTCAAATAAATTATTAAAACATATGGCGCATTCTGCGCACATATATTGTGCAGTATAATTCAAGAATTTATTTGACTGCCTTCCCGATCGAATTTTGAGCTGAAATTTGGTATGGATAAACTAGACTTGATTAAGAACATGCTCAAAAAATTCCACCGGGAAGGACCTCTGAATGCTTTGTCCGTACGAAGCTTACTGTACATCCATATGTACAGGAACAGCCTTCATACACACACACACACACACACACAAATATTCCTGTCCGGCCAGGCCGAATAGGAGGTGGTCCGACCACCTCAATTTAAGGTGGTTCCCGGTGGTATTTTTTGCTCAAATATTTTGTGTATGTTCCTGATCAAGTCTAGTTCATCCATACCAAATTTGAGCAAATAATTCAATCGGGAAGGCCGTCAAATGATTTTTGAGAGATAACTACGTTTTATATGTATATTCCGAGCAGTTAACTTGCAAAAATCATTTGACGGCCTTCTCGATTGAATTTTTTGCTCAAATTTGGTATGGATGAACTAGACTTGATGAAGAACATACACAAAGAAATTCAGCAAAAAATACCATCGGGGACCACCTCAAATTGAGGCGGCCGGACCAGGTCCTATTTGGCCTGGCTGGACAGGAATAGCTCTCTCTCTCTCTCTCTCTCTCTCTCTCTCTCTCTCTCTCTCTATATATATATATATATATATATATATATAGGAAGTGGTTCCAGTGACAAAGGACTCCCACGAGAGAAATGAGAATGAACATGGACCGTTGTATTGTATTATGTGAAATTGAAATGTATATTTGGTGAGATTGAAATATGCATGAGGTGAAATTGATATGTGCAGAATAAAACGTAAAACTCAAATGTGCATTAGGTGAAATTAAAATGTGCAGAATAAAAGACACAAAAATGTCACCGCATCGCAGCTTTTATTCTGCACATTTCAAGTTCATCTAATGCACATTTCAACTTCACCTAATGCCATTGTGCCATACCCTTTGTGCTGCACATTTTGATTACATATAATGCACATTTCAATTTCACGTAATGCACATTCAATTTCACATAATACAATCTAACAGTCCAGATTGATTCTCATTTTTCTCCTAAGATGATTTTCTCATTTGAATCGAATTATAGATGTGTGTGTATGTACACACACACACTTTCTTTTTATCAGTGGAATATTTCAAATTCACCCTTTCCAAACAGGCTCCAAAAGTCAAGATTTGATAATATATTCTGACAAACACAGTGAACAGAAAAAGCCGATTACATATTTACATATACTGGTCGAGCAGACCCTAAAACAATGTACCAGAACTATTAGATAAGACCCCCCCCCCCCCCCGCCCCTCCAAATCAAAATATGCTTACTTGTAAGAGCAGAAAGGCCAATGTCAGTGATCTGGCGGGCATCCAAGTTCAGGGATCTAAGTGACGATAGACCCCTTAATTTTCTCAATCCACCATCTGTTATCGCAGTGAAGGATAGGTTCAAGCTCTCCAAACGTCTTAAGCCTGCATATGCATTACGCTTGTGTGAGCAACTCTAAGGGTGCATGATCACGCGTAATTAGCACATAATTTTATACTTGATCAAATGAAACTAGTTTTTCATGCAATTTTTTAAAAGAGCCGTGAGTAAGTTAAGATGTTGCTTCTCACTGAAAGGCGAGAATTCAAGTCTGGGGAGGGGTCTCTAGTAAAAATTATAAGGGAAGACATGCCCTTATACACCCTTATTGTGAGGCCCTTCCCTCAACCCTCACCTTGAAGGGATGCCAATCTGCGATGGGCTACCCTCCTTTTGAAATAATTACATATTTATGACAAAAATAAAGATTGTTTACAAAAATGTGACTAGTGACTAAAGTAGTATTGGAAGCATAATAACTTATGTTCAATTTTTAAACTTAAATTACCATGACACTACATTGTAGTAACTATTAGTGACATTTGTGTAATTAAGTTTTATTTAGTAATATTTTTGAAAAAAACCCTACTAGTCGATGATTTAATAAGGAGGAAAGGGAAAAGTACAGAAAAAGTGTGATTGGAAGCGTTTCAAATAAGGAAGGGTATGTGCTTCATTTTTTCCCAAAGTATTCTCATGTTTTAGATCGGTTATCACTCATTGGGTCAGAAGCCAAACTCCGTTAGAAACAACTCAAGTGGCAATTATTGTAAAAACCTGACCCCTTACGTGACCATAAGACCAATCCAACAAGAGTCTGGTCAAAATTTTTGTCATTCCCCATTTCCCCATCACCGGGCGGTAAGAACATGAGGAAGATGATGGGTAGTAACTCAAATTTTAAGAAGTGCCCAAAAAGCTGAAAGAATAAGAGTGGAAGGTGCGTGCGCGTGGTCAAGGCGACCTCTAAACCACCTCTGTCGCGGGAAAGTCCACCAGAAAGCACCTAGATGTGCAGAAAATGGACAGTACCACCAAGGATTAGTTGAAAAGACGGATTCAATAGTGTTTTCAGTAACTCAAAATGGATGTGCTTGTTCTACTCAAGGTGGCGATGCCCAGTCCATAGGTAATTTGCAGATTAAATCGTCGGAAATTGAGTTATGGGTCAAAATCAGTCCAGTGATGAACAGTGATTTCTGTGATCCAAAATGAACTGGAAAATCCAAATATCACAAATCCAATAGTGGATATTGCAAGCGTGAAGAGATCCACCCTAAAATCTGGATGAAAGTCATTTTATTCGTGTGGATTTACCTGAAAAGGTCATTGTTCACCGTCTTCCTCCTCAGAGTTCCCTGGCAGGAGAAATCATCACTGTCCTGCGCCAGACATTCCTTGGATGTACCCGTAGGTTTTTATTGGTCACATGAGAGGCCAATTATTTTAAAAAAGGGAAAACTGTCAAATAGGTCCTCGAACTTTCATAAAAAAGTCAATTAAGTCCTTCTATAGGAGGTTCTGTCCGGCCGTCGCGATTTGGTGCAGTTCCCGGTGGAATTTTTTGATGAAATTTTTTGAGCATCTTATTCACCAAGTCTAGTTTACTCATACCAAATTTCAGCTAAAAATTCAATTGGGAACACATTCAAATTAATTCTTGAAGATAACTACGCATTTTTGCGTTCTCGAATTAATTTGAATGCGCTCCCGATTAAATTTTTAGATGAAATTTGGTATGAGTAAACTAGACTTGGTGAATAAGATGCTCAAAAAATTTCATCAAAAAATTCCACCGGGAACCGTCCCAAATCGCGATGACCGGACAGAGTCTCCTATAGAAGGACTTAATTGACTTTTTTATGAAAGTTCGAGGACCTATTTGACAGTTTTCCCTTTAAAAAATGTCACCTTAACTGTTCTTTAACGCAGTTTGGCTTCGGACCCCACGGGCAATAACAGACTTAAAACACGAGGGAGATTTTGGGAATAAATGACAACACATGTCTCTATCTGAAAACGCTCCCAACCACAAGTATATGTTCTGTACTTTTCCCCAAAAGTAATGTTTCAAAAAGAAAAATTATACCGAAGGATAAAGTCATGTTTGATCTAATGAAGCCAATTCTTAGTGTCAATTTTAGAGAAGTCTTGATGAAAAAGTAAAAAAAAAAAATCAAAGATGACCAATTTAGTCAAACTGTATAGCATCAAACAAAGTGATATACGCAAATTATAACGGTTAAACCTGAGAGATGTTGAAGTCCGTTGTTTCCAACGTCAGTATCAGACAACTCTAAACACTTCAAACTTTGAAGTCCTGCCCTCCTCAGACAGCAAGATAAGGTTAATTTGACAGACAGTATATTTTGTGATGACGAAATTTCATTAAGCTTTCATAAGTCTAGTAAAATTATAAATCGAAAATTAATATGAACTGAGTGACTTTAAACTAGATGTATGAAGCATATTCACTATTGAATGCAATATTACCAGCTAAGTAGGCCAGCCCTTCATCTCCAATTGCACATGAATCCAAGTTCAAGGTCAACAAATTTGGTAAACCTTGTTCAATTGAAAGACCAAGAATAATTTATATATATATAAACAAAAAAAACAATACCAATATATGTGTGTGGGGGGGAGGGTATATATACCGTTATACATTTATCATTATGGAGTACTTATCATTATTGGGAATATGATGGAATAAAGAAAAATGGCTCACTAAACAGTCTGCATTTCTTTCTTTTGAAAGAGCAATCATTCCATGCAATCTTTGTGCAGTACAGGGGTAAGGGTGCGTACATCCAACCCCCCTTACCCCCACCGTAGGTGGGAGCCTTTGCGGCACTGGGGTAATGATGATGATGTAATATTTCTCATTATCTACCTATGAAAATTTTAGTAAACTAGCATCTCAATAATATTGTTGGAATAATTTTTTACAACTTTTTGATTAATATTGCTTTGAATAAACTATCAAGGTTTGGTGAAATCTTGCTGTAAAATTTAATAAAAACTAATTTAAAATGTGATTGTGTACAATATATTATTCAAAATTCAAAACCAAACAGACTTACTGACAAACTTTGCGAATAATGAATATTATGTATAAATATATATATTATGAATATTTACAAAAGAAAGAAGCCTCAATCCCTGTTGAAATAGAGCATATTAACTAAGAAATAATATTGGAGAGGAAAGGATTTTCTGTATATTTCATTGAAGGGTAAGGCCCTATAAATATAGATTACAAAGATAGAATATTCCTATAAAAGATGCTATACAATAATACTATATATGGTATATTCCTAATATATTCTAAAGTATATTCTAATATACTTTCACACTCCCCCTCAAGTTGGAGCATAGATATTTATCATGCTCAACTTGTTACATAAATAACCAACTCAAATTCCATTTAGTGCTTTAGTGAACAAATCTCCAAGTTGTTCCCCAGTCTTCACATATCCTGTAGAGATCAATCCTTTTTGTATCTTCTCTCGAATAAAATGACAATCGACCTCAATATGCTTTGTTCTCTCATGAAATACAAGATTGTTTGCTATGTGTATAGCAGCTTGGTTATCACACCACAATTTAGCAGGCATTGATGTCTTCAGTCCGAGCTCAGTCAATAAATGGCTTATCCATATGATCTCACATGCAGATTGTGCCATAGCTCGATATTCTGATTCGGCACTCGAACGAGAAACCACATTCTGCTTCTTACTCTTCCAAGATACAAGATTACCACCAACAAAGACACAATAACCAGATGTAGATCTTCGATCATCTTTAGAATCGGCCCAATCAGCATCTGCAAAACATTCTATTCTCATGTGATCATGGTTTTGATAAACAATACCTCGTCCTGGTGCACCCTTTAAGTAACATAATATGTGTTCTATTGCAGCCCAATGATCAATGGTTGGAGATGACATGTATTGACTCACTACACTCACAGAATAGGCAACATCTGGACGAGTGACTGCGAGATAATTAAGCTTTCCAACCAGTCTTCTATATCTTTCTGGGTCTTCAAATGGTGTGCCTTCTTGAGTGAGTTGCACGTTGGGAACCATGGGTGTTGTACTTGGTTTTGCCCCTAATTTACGCTGAGATAGAAATATGCCTTTCTTACTTTGTGTTTGTTACTTCAATTCCTAGAAAGTATTTCAAAGAGCCAAGATCTTTCGTCTGGAATTGACTGTGCAGAAAATTCTTAAGGGCCAAAATACCTGCATTATCACTCCCTGTAATCACAATATCATCAACATACACCACAAGCAATGTGACACCTGATTCTGTTTGTTTGTAAAACACAGAGTGATCTGATTTGCCTTTTATCATTCCAAATTGTTCAATTGATTGACTGAATTTCCCAAACCATGCACGAGGACTCTATTTCAGACCATAAAGAGATTTGCGAAGTCGACAAATTTTACCATACTCCCCCTAAGCAACAAATCCCGGAGGTTGCTCAATATAGACTTCTTCCTTAAGGTCGCCATGCAAAAATGCATTTTTAATATCCAACTGATGTAAGTGCCAATCATGAGTTGCAGCAAGTGAAATAAGTAACCTGACAGATGTTAATTTAGCAACAGGAGAAAAAGTGTCAGAATACTCAACACCCTTTGCAACTAACTGGGCTTTCAACCGAGCAACAGATCCGTCTGGGTTAACCTTAATAGCAAAGACCCACATACATCCAATAGATTTCTTCCCTATAGGCAAGTCAACCAAATCTTTTAGGTGGGATAGGAAAAAGTTCTTTGTTTGGAAATAGACAATGATAAGGAGCTTTACCATTCAAAACAGAAGATGGCATTCAATTTATCAAAAAACATGCAGTAGACACGACATCTGCCCAAAACTGTTTAGGCACATTCATTTGGAATAGAAAACCCCTTGCAGTTTCTAACAGATGTCGGTTCTTTCGTTCTGCAACTCCATTTTGAGGAGGTGTGTCAACGCATGAAGTTTGATGAATAATGCCATGTTGAACCATAAATGACTTAAATGTAGCAGATAGATATTCTTGGGCATTGTCTCCTCTTAAAACCCGAACAGGAACGTTAAACTGAGTTTTAATTTCAGCACAAAAGGAAGAAAAATGAGTGAACAACTCAGATCGACGTTTCATGAAATACAGCCATGTCATACGAGAATAGTCATCAACAAAGGTAACAAAATATTTAAAACCAGCTTTAGACACAACCGGGCAAGCACCCCAAACATCAGAGTGAACAAGGTCAAATGGAGCGTTTGCTCGTTTATTAACTCGCGGGCTTAAGCTAGTACGATGGTGTTTCGCAAATTGACATGACTCACATTGTAAAGAGGTCATCTTATTAAATTGAGGATTTATTTGCTTCATTAATGGGAGAGATGGATGTCCTAATCGGTAATGAGCATCTAACAAAGTCCCAACCCCAAGACAAGAGATACCTTTTGTGATGGATGTATCCAAAATATAAAGACCAGCTGACTCATGTCCTTTACCAATAATCTGCTTCGTTAACAGATCCTGAAACACACAATATCCAGGAAAAAATATTACAGAACAATTAAGAGTACGAGTGATTTTACTGATGGAAAGCAGATTAAATGCAAAATTAGGAAGACTCAAAACAGGCGATAATGGTAATGTAGAAGTTGGAACAACAGTACCAGATCCAAGAACGGGTGAGGTAGACCCGTCAGCTAAAGTGACACTAGAAGTAGGTAAATATGAATGAAATGACGAGAATAGACTAGGATTACCGGTCATATGATCTGTGGCACCTGAGTCAATGACCCATTTCGAGGATGATGAAACAAGACATGTGTTTGAAATACCTGAATTACCTGAATTCGTGGTTGCCGAGATAGGGACATATGAATGCTTTAGAGATTCTTGGTAGCAAATAAATTTGGCACACTCGTCTGAAGAAATAACAATTGATTCATCAAATGAACTGGTAGCGGAAGCAACATGAGGAAGCTGATTTCCTTGATTTTTGAACAGCAATTTTCTACATTCTTTGAGCAGGTGCCCGGGCTTCTTGCAGTAATTGCATATTACTCCTCGATCAAATTGACCCAACATTTTTTTTATATTGTATTTTTTTTTGCAGTAGTAAGTTCAAAATTGAGATTTCAGGCGCGAGAAAGGGCAACATCGAAAAAGTTTTCTCTACCTACAGGTTTTCGAGGATTCATCGAAAAACACTTCTCGATAAGCAACATCGAAAAAGTTTTCTCGGCCGAAAAGAACTTCTCGAAAAGAAACATTTAAAAACTTACCTTTCCCCGTTTGTGGGCTCAAAATTTGAAGAAGAAAATTTGGAGGAAAAAAAACTTACTCAACTTCATCTTTGGACTTTTAAAATTGATGCGCTGACATATCGGTAGCAGTCCAAGGGGTGTCCACACATATCCGATGCTAGACACTAGCGAGGCAGCGACCAACCCACTTGGGGCGTCCACAGTATCCGATGCCAGACACTAGCGACCAACCACCAAGCTTCCTCCGGCCCACAGATCCCGTCCCTTGCTGGACAAAGAACGAGAGAAGTAAAGTATACCTGGCAGAGGACTTTCAGGCGAGTGTCAGGTGAAGAGCTCCGATCAAATCTTCGGCCAGAGCAACAGTATCAAGCGCCGGCTGTGAGTACTTCCAAAGGCCCGTGTGGCTCACAGGTGTTGATTTGGAACTTCGGATTTTTTTTAACACCTGGACGAGATATTTGATAGAGACGAGATAGGTAATTGGCTAGCACTCGCCTGGAATATGGTCGGGCCTGGAGGAGATGGGGTTAATTGACTAATTGGACTGTACTAAGGTTCTGAAAGGTTCTGTCCAGAGGATCTGTCCTGGAGAAATGAGGCCTAGAGGTTCTGGAAAAAACTGAAAACTGAACTTAGGTTCTTGAAGACAAATCAGTCTGAAAACTAAACTGGAATCTGAAAAACTAAACCAAAATAGATGTCTCTGATACCATGTTGAAATAGAGCATATTAACTAAGAAATAATATTGGAGAGGAAAGGATTTTCTGTATATTTCATTGAAGGGTAAGGCCCTATAAATATAGATTACAAAGATAGAATATTCCTATAAAAGATGTTATACAATAATACTATATATGGTATATTCCTAATATATTCTAAAGCATATTCTAAAGTATATTCTAATATACTTTCACAATCCCATTACATTACTCTTTAATCTGAGATGAGCAAAACATATTATGTTATCAGAATCTAGATTATCGGGATCAAGAAAAAATCCTTGTTATTGAAGGAAATAAATAAAGTTATATTTAAGACATAATATTGTAATTAGCCGTACATCTGTACCATTACAGATCTCTATCATTTAAGATAGTATAAATAGGAGCTATTGTAAATCAGTAAAAGGTCGGAAATATATTCAAAAAGCCTTTTCTCTCTTGTTCGTTATGGTATCAGAACCATCGAGCTCTAACCAACCCTCCTTCCTTCCCCTATGACAACCGGCGACAATATCAGCTAGGCTGAGGCTCTCCTCAGGCAAGGAGACCTCAACAACGTC